TGTTTGCAGCGGGCGGCTCTCGCGGGGCTGCCGGCGGCCGCCGCCGCGCGCGGCGCCCCGGCCGCCTCCGCCGCCTCCTCGGCGCTCCCTGCCGCACAGCGGGACACGCGTTAGGAGCCGCCGCCGGAGCCGGGAATGCCATGGGAATGGGGGGGCCCCTCCTCGGGACGCGGCGCCCGCCCCAGGCCCCGCCAGGCAGAATAACCCGGGGATGGAGCTGCTGATCCCTGTGGGAATCCCTCCTGCACCCCGTGTGTTGTTGCCTCTCCCCCAAGCTGGATCCCCCCCAAGGATGGGCCGGGAAAGCTGCTAGTGAGGAACAGAGTGGGGAGTAAAGGAGGGGAAAAATGGGAATAAAAAGGGGAATAAAAGGGGGGAAATCTGGGAATAAAATGGGGAGTAAAGGAGGGGAAAAATGGGAATGAAACAGGGGATAAAGGAGGGGGAAATGGGAATGAAATGGGGAATAAAGGAGGGGGGAAATGAGAATAAAATGGGGAATAAAAGGGAGGGAATCTAGGAATAAAATGGGGAATAAAGTAGGGGAAATTCTGGGAATAAAATGAGGAATAAAGGAAGGGAAAAATGGGAATAGGGAGTAAAGGAGGGGGCAAAATGGGAACAAAATGGGAAATAAAGCAGGGGAAAAAAACGGGAATAAGACGGATGTAAGATGGGCTGTAAGGACCATCCGGCTGGTCCCATCCCATTGGGAAATGCTCCCAGATCGCGCAGCATCCACGCGGCGCAGGGTGGAACGGGGGGAACTTCCCTCTTTCTATTCCAAACAGTGACAAATTCCTCCTTTTGGAGGAGCGGCGGGAATAATAATGAGTGGGAACTCGGGAAGTCGGCGGGAGAAAACAGCAGGGCGGCAGCGAGCCAGGGAGGTGACACGAGGGAAACGCAGCCGCCACCGGGGCGCCGGCGGGGAAAAGGGAGCAGAAAGGGAGGCAGGAGGATGCAAGGGAGTCATCCCGCTTCCCACGCGGAGCCGGGAATGGCGGGGAAGGGACGTGGAGCCGCTCACCCAGGTAGCCCTGGCTCTTCTTCTGCAGCGCCGTGACCGGACAGTCCTTGTGCGCCAGCAGCAGCTGCTTGAGCTGGGCCACCTCGTTCCTCAGGAGCGTCACCTCGTTCTGCGGGGACACATGGGCGACACGGACATGCGTGGGACACGTGGTGGACACGGGACATGTGTCAGACACGGGACACGGGGGGGACACGGGACATGGGGGGGACATAGGACACGCGTGGGACATGGGACATGCAGGGGACACGGTCATGCAGGGGATAAGGGACACACATGGGACACGCGTGGGACACGGTGCCACCGGCTGCCCCACAGCCTCAGTCCGGGTGTTGCCGGCCCGGGAACACCTAAACCCCCAGTCTGGCGGTTGCTCCGTCACCCTCCCTGCCGTCTCCCGCCCGACCGGCTCTTTATTCCCTCTCCTTTTCATTACTCGGAGGGAAAACCGGCCGAGTCGCTCCATTTCTGCCCGAGTCTCCAAGGCTTTCCCGGTTGCTGGCTGCCGCGGAGCCTACGGAATGCTAAAGGGCTCAGGAGTTTGGAGAGGGAGCAGGAAGGTGGTCGATTGTATTGTGAAACTGCCCCTGGAAACAATTCCTATAATTATCTTGGGAAGAGATTAAACCCACCCTGGTGAGGGCTAGGGAGTGAATCCCAGCGTGGGAGCCCCAGCAGGGAAAAGGCCGGAGCGGACACGAGGCTCGGCCATGGACGGTGCCTGTGGACATGTGTCCATGGATGGGGCTCCTGGGAATCAGGAAGCTCCGGCTCTCCGCAGGAATCCGCATGGCTGCAGGGCCGCGAGGTGGGAATGGGCCTGGGGCTCCTCCCGAGGCCAGAGCTGCTTCCTGGGATTTCCAGGCTCCGTAGGCTGCAGAGCTACCTTGGTGGGGCAAGCAGCTCTTCCCCAAATGAAAGCTCTTCCCCAACTGGAAGCACTTCCCAAATGGAAGCTCTTCACAAATGGAAGCTCTTCCCCAACTGGAAGCACTTCCCAAATGGAAGCTCTTCACAAATGGAAGCTCTTCCCCAACTGGAAGCACTTCCCAAATGGAAGCTCTTCACAAATGGAAGCTCTTCCCCAACTGGAAGCACTTCCCAAATGGAAGCTCTTCCCAAATGGAGGCTCTTCCCCAAATAGAAGCTCTTCCCAAATGGAAGCTCTTCTCCAAATGATAGCTCTTCCCCAAATGGAAGCACTTCCCAAATAGAAGCTCTTCCCCAAATGGAAGCACTTCCCAAGTGGAAGCATTTCCCAAATGGAAGCTCTTCCCCAACTGGAAGCTCTTCCCCAAGTGGAAGCTTCCCCAACTGGAAGTGCTTCCCCAACTGGAAGCTCTTCCCCAACTGGCAGCGCTTCCCTGGGCTCAGGCTCCTCCTGGGCAATGGCATGTGAAGCAGGGAGCGGAGCAGGGATGCGCGGGCCGGAATCCCGCTCCGGATCCGGCGGCGCGCAGCGGCACTCACGCTCAGCTGGATGTTCTGCGTCGTCAGCTCCTCGGCCTTCTTCTCCAGCGAGGACACCCAGAGCTTGCGCTTCTGGCGGCAGCGCGAGGCGGCCGCGCGGTTCCGCTCCAGGAAGCGCTGCCGCCGCTCGTCCGGGTCCTCGTCGGCCGCGCGCCGCCGGCGCCCGCCCGTCGGCTGCGCCGGGGACACCTGCGGGAAGGGGCGCGGAGCGGGCGGGATGGCAGGCGACACGGGCGGCGTGCCGCAGGGATATGATCCCCGCGGAAGGCGAATCGCAGGCGGCCATCCGCACGGGAAGCCGGCACTTGGGCTGGCGGGAGCCGGGCGAGCCGGCTGCACAACGGGGGAGTGTTTCACCCGGAAAATGAGGGGGAAAACGCCCGTTTCCCAACGCCGGAGCGCGGCAGGCAAGGCAGCTGTGCTGCCGGGGCGGCGCGGGGAGGAAAACTGACAAATTGCACTGAAAAAACAGGGTTTTTTTTGCACATTGTGCCAAGGTGCCCGTGTCCCGCGGGACCCACCTGCGGCTGCGCCGGCGACGGCGCGTCCGGCTGCTGGCCCAGGCCCGGGCTGCGCTCCGGGCGCGCGGGCGCCGCTGTGCCGCCGTTCAGCGAGGAGGACGTCAGCGTGGCCTTCAGCCTCTGCCGGCACGGGGGGCGTCAGCGCCGTGGCGCTTCCCAGGCTTTGCCGGAGCCGAGCGGGCGCCGGGAATGCCGGCTCCGGCTCTGCCCACACGGCCGCCCTCCGTCCCCGCGTGGCCAATTCCCCACTCACCATCTTGGCCTCCGAGGGCGCCGGGAGCCCCGAGGGCGAAATGGAGCCGCTGCTGTTGATGGGCGGCCCGGGAATGCCGGGAATGTTGGGCACCATGGACACGGGCCGAGCCAGCTAGCGGGGAGAAAGAGCACGCGGGCTGGGGGAGCCGCAGGGCCCTTCCGCTCCGGAATAACCCCTTCCCGAGCCAGTTTTCCCAGCCTCCATGTGCCCAGCAAGCTGGAGTGCTTCCGTGGGAGCGTGTCGTTCCAAATGGAAGCACTTGGAAGCATGGAGCGAGGCGGGAGCCGTCTGTGCGGGCACAGCTTGGTGCCCTTTGCGGAGGGAGCTGCTACTGCCACCCTGCCAGGGCAGGCTCCGCTCCTCCTGCTCGTGCAGCCTCCCCACGCACAGTGGGATGACCGGATTATTGGGAATTTTCCCAAGCAGGAAGCGGGATGGTGTGTGCGGCAGGGGGGTGGCAGCGCTGCCCGTTCGTCCCTTACCGATATCACAGAGGGCATCTGCACGGCCGGGCCGGGCAGCACGGGCACGGCCTGCCCGTTCGCCAGCTGCACCACGAGCGGCAGGGATCCTGTGGGAGAGCTGGACACAAATCCGTCGGATCAGGGCGGCTTCGTGCTCCCCGCCAGCGCCCCGGGCCGTTTTCCGTGTGTGCTGGGAGCACGATGCCCACCCGGCCACTGGAAAAGCTCCCCTGGCTGCTGCTTGGGACACACACAGGGAACATGCGGGATGTGGAAGCGGCTTCCCAGCCCGCGCGGAGCATTCCGGGAGCTCCCGGGAAGGCTTTGCGGGAAGGGAGCTTTGCATGCACAAGGGTTTCTAACTCTCCCTAAAAACCTAAACACGGAGCTAGAGCTGGCAGGATGCAACGGCTCGGGAAGAGCGGAGCAGCCGAAACGGGAAAAGGAAAGCATTCCCGGCAGGAAGCGCTGCTCGGCTGCGCTCCCGCAGCGCAGCGGGAGGCCGGATGGAGGCAGAGAAGAGCTGGGAGAAGAGCGGAGCTGCCGGGAAGCCGCCTCCGGGGGAGCTTGGAGCCAAAGCTGCCTTTGTGGTGAGCCAGGGAAAGGCAGGGATACGGCTCTGCGCTCCCCGTGCCTCCGCGCACGGAGACGGGATGCAGGGAGCGCCGGCTGGAGCGGGAAAGACACTGCCGGCTGCTTTTCTCCCTTCTCTGGGTTCCCCAAAGGAATGCGAGTGCCCTCTGGAAGTGCCGGCACAGGCGCTTAACCCCTTAGTGCCTCCGGATGGGATGGAAAACTTCCCGTCACAGAGGGGGGATGGACGGGGCCGGGGGACAAAAAGACTTAGGCCAGAAAATATGACCTGAGAGTGCCCAAACGGACACAATACAAACTCGGTATTCCGAGTGTGGCTCCTGAGGGCTCCAAGGCGGCTCCCGCGGCTCCCAGGCTCCTTCATGTGGGATGGAGCCTCCGAGCGGAGCACTGGAGGCTGCAGGGCGGCCCGTTAAGGGCAAAACGGGGCAAAACGGGGCAAAGGAGCAGGTCTGTGCAGCAAGCGGCTCCCGAGGTGCAGGCCGAGTGCTCCCAGAGCTGGAAAACGTCGCTTCGGCGTGGGAACAGTGGGAACAGTGGGAATAGCGGGAATAGCGGGAGCAGCGGGAGCGGCGTCGCGGGGCCCGGCGGCGCTTACCCGAGCTGGCGGCTGGCCGGGGGCGCCTGGGTGATGACGGAGGTGGGCGAGGGCAGCGCCGGCGGCGGCAGCGCCTCGTAGCCCAGGGCCAGCGGCAGCGAGCCCGGCCGCACGATGGCCGCGGTGGGCGTGGGCACGATGACCGGCTTGGAGGCCACCTCCTAGGGACACGCAGGGGGACACGCGCCGTCACTTACCCGCCGCCGGGCTCTTCCCCAGGGGTTCGGAGCAAATTTGAGGGAAGAAAAAGGTAAATTGAAGGTGAAATTCAAACGGAGAGCTGGGTGGAGAGGCTGCCGCCCAAGCGCCACCGATTTATGTCCCCTGGACCCACCTTGTCCTTGCTCCGGGGCGACGGCGGGCTCGATGCGGGGCTCTCCGGAGGCGACGAGTCCACCTCGACCGGCTCTTCCTCCTTAATTTTGATGTCCGGGGTGGAAGGCAGCGACATGTCCAGGGCTGCGGCGCTCTGCGGGGCACAGAAAGCACCGGCGCGGCTGGCGGCGCCGCTCGGCTCACAGGCTTCCCCGAGGGATCATCCCGCTCGCTTTATCGGGATAAATCCCGATTTATCGGGACTCGAGCAGCGCGATGGCCGCGGCGACACCGAGACCCTCGTGGGGACGGTCCCACATGCGGCACCACTTTGGGGCTCCTCAGGAACATGGAATTCTTTCCACCGTTTTGTGTTTTTTTTTGGTATTTTCTTACTGTGGAAAAGGGCCCTGTGAAGGAGAGCGGGTCGCAAAGCCCATGGGCTGCAGAGCGTTCCATGAACAACCCCAAATCCTTGAAACCCCCGAGGCGACAGGAGGGCCAGCAAACAGCTCCGAGCGCCCCAAAAACGCAATCCCAAGTGCTGCCTTTTGCCAAGGGATGGAAATTCCTCCCTAGGGTTGGACCTGCCGCCCTGGGCTGCAGACCAGGAGGGATCTGTGGGCGTGGGATGGTGGGGGGCAGCCCTTACCTGCCCTGTTCCGCAGAGCGGCCGCGTCGGGAATGGCCGAGGAGAAGGGATTAATGTTTGGGAAAGGCGCCGCAAGGCTCTCCAGGGAAGCCCCGGCCTCTGCTTTTCATTAAGAGGCTGCTGCTGGGACCACCCTGGGCAGCGGAGGGGAAAAGGGATGGGAAATATGGGGACTTTTCTCCCCAGTTCTGGGGGAGAGGAGGGAGCTTTCCAGGAGCCCAACGCAGGGAGGGAGCCTTCCTAGGAAACTGCTTCCCAGAGCCTGTTATTTGGGAGAAGTGGGTGAAAGCGGCAGGTTTTTCACTCTGAAATCCCGATGCCTCCGTCCCTGGGCCTGTCTGGGGAAGATTTACACGGCACTGCTGCTGCTCCCGAGCGGCGCCGCGGGCTGCGAGCGCGCGCGGGGACACAGATCCGTTTAGGAAACGTGTGTGTCCATGGGATGTGCGGGACGTGGGGGAACAAGGGTCTTAATTAGCGGCTCTCTGACGAGCTCCCGCGTCCCTCAGCCCCGAAGCGGATCTTGGGTGGGGAAGCGGCCCCGTTTGCAGACCCCTCTTGATCCGCAGCGGCTTTAGGGGCACCGAGGGGCTGCATCTTCCACCCTCTCCTGCATCTCCTCCCCATGAAGACGTTTGGGATGCATTTGACGCAGAAAGCTCCGGAACGGGAATGGGGAGCCCCCAAAGCCGGTGCTACGCCGGGCCCGGCTGCGGTGCCCGTTTACGGCGGCGTCTCGCGCGGCCTTCGGCGCTTGCCTTCCTCTCGTCCTCCTCGGCAGCCCTCTTGAAGTCGTGCTCGAAGGAGCCGGCCAGCTCGTGGAAGAGCCCGACCTCCTCGCAGTTCTTCAGGAAGCGCGTTGGCGTCGGCGTCTGGTCTGCGGGGAGGACGGGAAAAGGGGCTGGAAAAGGCAGCGCAGCCACCGCGATCCCATCCCGGGGCTCCTGCCCCATCCCGGGGACGCGTTGGGGCCCCATCCCTATGGCCACAACCCGGCCCCGCTGCATCCTGCGCCCAACTGTTCATCCCGCAGTGCCGCTCATGCCCGGCAGCGAAGGCTGCGCCCCATCCATGGGCAAAGGGCAGCTCCGGACCCCAAACACCACCCAAGACCGCTGCGCATGAGCCTCGGGAATGAGGAGGAACCTCCAGGAGGAACCTCGGGAACAAGAGGGGACCCCAGGAATGAGCAGGAGCCTCGGGAGCGAGCAGGAACACCAACAACAACCACCAGGCTCGCTGAGCACCGGCACAGCCGTCCCCCTGCAACAGCCGTGGCGGAGGGTGGTGCGGGGACGCGGTGCCCCCGCCGGACAGGCGGACGCGCGCGGTGCTGCGGGGGGTGTGCGGCTGTAGCCGCCATCCGGATCCAGCAACCGCCGGCCCAAAAGCTCGGGAAAACCGACCGCACCAGAGCCTCCCGGCCCGTAAATCTCCCGGCTTTCATAAAAAGGGCGAGAGCTGCAAAAGGGAGGGGGAGAAAAGCCACAAAAACCCAATCCTACCATAAAAAAAGGGGGAAAAAAATAAAAACAGGAGAAAAATGGCGACTCGGAAGCCTCTGGCTTTCCGTTCGTCCTGATTAAATGCAGATCACGGGAGGGTTTTATGGGAGGCTCTGCGGCGCAGCTGGTGCCCGGCATCAATCTTGCGGCGGTGCCGCATTCCGGGCGGGCTGGCGCGCGGCGCCGCGTACCTGCCATGATGACCGAGTCGGTGCGCGCCGGCCCCAGCTTCAATGTCATCTCGTGCTTGTGCTTATGAACCGCCAGGTGGTCCTCGTTGGTGAAGCGCTGCAAGCCAACAACGGGCGAAGGAGAAGCAAGGAGAAAAGGGCGTTTGGTTGGAGATCCTGTGGACGGGCTTGCGGGGAAACGGGGGGCAAAGGGGGCACTTGAAGCAATGGGGGGCATTGGTTGGGAATGGGCAGGTTTGGAAGCGCTGCTGAAACACGGAGCTGCTTTGGGGGTGGGCCGAGGGGCTGATTTTGCTGCTCTTGCGGCTTTTTGGACGGAACTGCCACTGTTCGGGATGATCTGCAGTCCCCAGGGAAAAATACCCGGGGTTTTGGCCCAGAGAAATGCCCAGATTCAGCCCGCGGCTGCACAAAGCACGGGGCAAAACCCCCAAACGGGGCAAAAACAGGAGAGAAAAGCGCCCCAGGCAACCCCAAATCCCAAAGAGGGGAAAGGAGCAGGAGCGACTGCCCCGGATGCTCCGGCCCCGCTTCACACGGAGCAAAGGGATGAGCAGGATCCAGGGCAGGAAGCAGCGGGAGAAGGGGCCGCTGCGGCTGCCGCAGTAACGGGTGTTTTTGCTGCGTGGCCGGTGGGATTTTCGCTGTTTTCCCGTTTTCCCGGCTCCATCGGGACACGATCTGGGTTGCGGCGCACGTTCCCCCGCGCCGGGCGCCCGGGTGTAAATCATGTCATTTCGCCCGGGGAAGAAAGTCACGGCGGGCAGAAAAAGAAGGGGGGGGAAATAAAGGCGGGGAGTTAAAGCCGCCGCAGCCGCTTTTCATGTTTAATCTCCTTCCCTGGGCATCTCGCAGCTCCGAGCGCCGGGAAAGCGGGAAGGTTTTCCCGACCTCTTAAATAAAATAAATAATATTCCTGTTGCTGTTAAATAAAATAAACACGGGAAGGGGCCCGGAGCGGCTCCGAGCGGCGCCGAGGGCAAATCCCAGCAGTCGGGGGGTTAATTCGTGCACAAACCGCCCAGCAGGAGCCGAGGCGACACCGGGAACGCTGTGCTGGGAGTGCACGGAGTGCCAGCCGGGGCCATTCCCGGCGGGAAGCAGGCGGCCCGGCCGCCCAGAGCATTCCCAAGATGTGTTGCTCCGGAAGGAGGCAGGAATAGTGGCGCTAAATTGCCTTTTTCCGCTTTTTTTGTGCCCGTGCGGGGCGATGGGCCCTGGGTGCCATGGCTGGAGCTAGGGAGAAGCAGCCGGGATACTCCCGCTTCCCGGCCCCGCTCCGGAGGCCGTGACCGGAGGGGTTTAGGAGCCCCGTAAGCAGGAAAACTGGTGATTCCGAGCACACCGCACACACAGCTCCGCAGGGAATGAGCCAAATACCCGTGGCGCTTCCCAAGGGCGGGCGCAAAGCAGAGGTGTTCCTGCCCTCTGGAAAGCCCCCCTGCTCCATTTGGGATTCAAGCTGTGAAACCTTCCCCAAACGGCCTTTTTTTCCTGTGAAATCTCCCCCAAAAGACCTTTTCTCCCGTGAATCCTCCCCCAAGCGACCTTTTTTCCCGTGAAATCTCCCCAAAAAGACTCTTTTTCCTGCGAATCCTTCCCCAAACGACCCTTTTTGCATATACACACGCCTACAGAGATTCTTTACATATATACACACATACACAATCTATACGTGCCTGCAAAGGGCACGGAGCCGAGCTCTTCCCGTGCTGGAGCCGGCCGGGATCGGCCGCGCGGTGCCTGCAATGCCGGCAGCGTTTACTTCCCCACGGTGGAGCACATATAGATTTGCATACATACATATATGCGTACGCGTATATATGCACATACATACATAGAGACGGGCTCTTTGTGAGCCCTGCGGCACAAAGGGGAGGTTACAGCCCAGCCGCGCTGAAGGGAGGCGAGTGGGGAAGCAAATTACGGGGCAAAAGAGGCCAATTACGGTGCAAAAAGGGGGTAGGTACGGTGCAAAAAAAGGACCAATTACGGCACAAAAAGGGGCCAGGTTTGGGTGCAAAAGAGGGCAAGAATTAGGGTGCAAAAGGGGGAATGAGGGTGGAAAAAGGACTTGAGGTAGGGTGCTAAAAGGGCCAACTTGGGGTGCAAAAGGTGCCGTGTTAGGGTGCAAAGGGGGACAAATGAGGATGCAAAAGGAGGCAGATTAGGGTGCAAAGGGAGTCGATTTAGGGTGCAAAAGGAGGCAGATTAGGGTGCAATACGCTGCACCCACACAGGGGCCACCAGCCTCTTCATTCCCATTCCCGTGCTCGGAAAACACCGAGGAAAACGCGGCTCCGAGAGGTTCGGTGCTGATCCTCTCCACGGACACCCCCTTGGGATCTGGACCCTGGGGATCTGCCGAGCCCTGGGGACTGCCAAAATCTTGGGATCTGCCAAACTCTGGGAATTGCCAAATCCTTGGGATCTGCTGAGCCCTTGGGATTGCCGAGCCCTTGGGAATGCCGTGATTGTCATCACAAATGAGACGCATCCTTCTTCCTGGCACTTTCGTGCCACCGTTCTGGGATACAGATGCCCTGAGCAGCAGCCCTGCTCCATAGGGAATGGGATTTCACGCCTGTTGTTGGAGGCAGCGACGCGGCAGCGAGAGAGAGAAAACGGAGCCAGGAATGAGGCCATTTGCTGGATTTTGCCTCTTGGAAAAGCCACCCGTTCCCAGGCACACGGATGGGCCCATGGAAAAAGCCTGTGGAAGCTTTTGCCCTGGGAAGACAGGCTGGGTTTAGAGGGACAAGCCGCTCCTTGCGCTCGCTTCCCAAGGTGGGAATTGCAGCGAGGAGGCGCATCCGGCTGCGTGCGCCGGTGCGGGGCCTGGCATTAGCAAAATCCACGGCAAAATTCGTGGCAAAATCCCTGGCTGCAGCTCCCGGCGCTGCGCTCGCCTCTAATCCCCTCTTAGCCGCCAGCAGAGCCTTTTACCGGCACTTCCCACCTCCATAAGAACGAAGGGGATAATCCTAAGTGCGAGGAAAATCCCGGCGGAGAGCGGCATCGCGCAAGCTGCTTTTCCCAAGCGCTTCCCAAGCGGGGTTCAACCTGCAGCCCTTTTTCCCCGAAATTTCCAGCAATTTTCCCCCACCGAGGTGCTGACGGGATAACACGGAGCGAGTGCCGGATGCTAAAACTCCCCGGGTGCTTACGGGGCTCGGAGCAGACGCTGCTCGCTCCCAAAGGCGCCCAGCGGGTAAAAATAACCCCGTTTTCCGCCCGGAATGCGGGTGGGAAAAGGCCCCGGGAACAAAAGCTCGGCCGCGTCGCCTGCAGGGCCCTTTACAGCCCGGGTAATTTACGGCTGCCGCGGGGGCCTCATTGTTTCCAGGCTGCCTTTTGGGGGGAATTTCAGGACTTTAGTGTTTTTATTGTTTTAAGCCGAAAAAACAAATGCTGGGAGCCAAAGAGCCGGCAGGAGCGCGCGGGGAAGCGGCGGCTGCCTTCGGCAAACGCTCCGAATTCCCAAATCCAAGATTAAAACTCAAAATTAACCCAAAAAATGAACTCAGAAATTAACGGTGTGCCTGGGAAAGGGCCCGTGATCCTTGCGGCTTCGTTATTCCCTTTTTTCCGGCCGCTCTTTCCGCGGCTGCCGCAGAGGGCGGAGCGGCCGGAGCGCCGGGAAGCTCCCGGAGCTCCCCCTGCTCCTACCCCAGCGCGCGGAGTCGGCAGCCCTTCCTCATCCTCCTCCTCCTCCTGCTCCGGCACCGAAACCTCTACAGGGGCCGTGAGCTTGCTAGGAACGACAGGAAACAGGGAAATCAGCCCACAAATTAATATTTTACCAATAAAACCCGTTTTTGTAGTGTTTGCCCCAAGCAGCAGCCTCATCTCCGGCTTGGCCGGTGGCGTTCCCGGCTCCCTGCTTTTTCCAGTGCTTGGTTTCCTTGCTCACAGGTCGCCTGTTTTTTTCTGCAGGAAAAACGCCGCGAACCGGAGCCCCTGTTTTAATTAATCAGTTAATTGGCAGCGCGGCCGCGGTGCTTCCGCAACGAGGCCTTCCCAGAGCCGCGGCTTCCAAAGGCGGCCCAGAGGCTCCAAATAAAATAAAGCGCAAAAATCAGGCGGGTTTAAAAAAGGAAATAAAGGAAAAAGGGAAAATAAAGAAAATAAAGGAAAATAATAACAATAAAGGAAACCTCCCATTTCTTTTCCTTTCTCCCTCCTGCAGCCGCCGCTCCGGCGTCGCGCGCCCGGGACCAGCTGCTCCGTATCGGAGCGGTCGTTCGGGGCTGTGGTTATTCCCATAAAGCTGCCGAGGGCACGGGAATAACGGGAGGCAAGAGCCGGCGGGAGCCGAGCAATTCCTAATTCTTAAGTGATTCCTAAGGAGCTGGAGGGGCCGCAGCGTCGGGAGCCGCTTCCCAACCCGGCTCCGTTTGCGTTTTCCTTGCAGAATCCGGCCAGCGCTTTGGCAGCCGGGCACTAATTTGGGAGAGGGGAATTTGGGAGAGGGGAATTTGGGAGAGGGGAATTTGGAGATGGGAATTCGGGCAGGGCTGGTGCGGGTGCAGCCGCCAGGCGAGCGGCTCCGCGCGCCGCAAACGGGAAGCGGCAGCCGGAGCGCCCGGCTTCCAGCGCCACCACTAAATAACATTTAAATCTTAATTATATTTTAAAACAGCCATTCTTTTTTTTTTTTAAAAAAAAAAAGGGGAAAAAAAAAAAAAGGAGGAGGAAGCGCCATTACGGCGCTTTTGTAGTTAAAGGTCTGTCAACATTTCCATTCGAAAGCTTCATTTCTAGGGGGTTTATAATTTGGCCATAAAAATTCATTCCAGGCTGAGCGCGGCATGGAGGGGCTCCGCCTCGGAGCGAGGTTTTTTATTACCCAATTTGCTTTAAACGGCTCTGGCCGGTTTTAAGTTATAGGCGCGTAAAGAGGGAACGTTTGCAGGTTGCAGATGCCTTTGCAGCCGCCTGCTCCATCCAAACGAGCTTCTCCCCTCGGCGCTGCCCAAAACGCCTCGGGCGCCGCGAGCGCCGGCGCTAATTAACGCAATTAACCCGCAGGTTCCCATGTTAATGACCTGGAGCCGGCACCTGTCATCCCGCGCTCGCAGGTTGCTCAGCCCTAAAGCCTCCAAATAAATAATTGATGCTGCAAAAGCTGCAAGCGCCAAAGAGGGGGAACGGCGGCCGCGGCACGGAGCCGCGGCCGTTTCCGTGGATTTAGAGCAGGGATACGGGGGAAAGGGAGGAAGGAGCGAGCGGGGTTTGTGGCTGGGCTCTGGGAAGCGCTTGGGATGGAGCCGAGCGCGGCCCGTGGCGGCCCCGGGCGGGAGCCGATCCCGCCCGCTCGTTAAATCCCCCCTGGAATTTCTCATTTTAGCACTCGGCCGGCGGGGGGCAGACGGCGGCCCCCCTGGCTCCATGCGGATGCATCCGGGCTTCCCGCTCTGCCGCAGCCGTCGCGAGCTGCAGCCGCCGGCCCGGCACCTCCTCATCCCCTGGCCCGTTAATCCCGCAGGAAAAACCCTCCGGCCGCCGCCGGGCAGCCGCTTCCCTTGGGATCCCCTTCCCAGCCTCAAGGGGCTGCCGGCAGCTCCACAGCAGGGAATATTTGGGGACTGCAGCAGGACGGAAGGAGGGAAGGGAGCCGCCGCTCCGGTGACGATGCCGATCCCTATCCGTATGGATCGTACGCGCGGCCAAACGCGCCTGGCAGCCGCGGGGCCGTTTCCTGGCCGTACGTTACGGAGCCACAGGGATTTGGGGCAATCGCCTACGTGTGAGGCTGCCGAAACGCCCCGCGCGGCCACCACCAACAGCCGCACGGCCCTACAACCCCACGGAGGTGACACAGGCGGCCGCGCGGCGGTACCGGGAGCGCCATCCCTCCTCCTTCCCCTTTCCCGCATTTCCTTCTTTCTCCATTAAGGAAAAGAGGGGGGAAATGCCGTAAGGGACAACGGGAGAGGGTTGACGTCAGGCACGGGGAGAAGGAGCCGGCCCAGGGCTCCAACACGGAGCGCGGGGAGCCAAAGATTCCTCCTTCTAGTCCGAAAGGAGGAAACGCACAGGGATAGGGGGGTGCAGCCACTCCAACTGCTGCATCCCAAGGAAGCACCTGAGGATGCTCAGGATGCTCCCGTGTTGGATCTGACCATCCCTTGGGCTCGAAGAGCAGCGTCTGCTTCTCCAGGGGCAAGGGGACGGATGTGGGAAGCGCAGCCAGCGGAGCCTGCGCTCCCTGAGCAGCCTCTCCGGAAGGGACAACCCTGGTGCCGCAACAGGCGGAGGCTCCGGGGCCAACAGGCGGTACAAGGTGACGGGGAAGCTGGACCAGCACTCGGCCCCTCCGGCTTCCCGCTGGGATTTATTTTTCCCTTTGGAAGCTGCTATGCAGCTTTCCCGTGCACGGCACCAGCCGCTCCTGGCCACCAATCCCAGGATCCGGGAGGGATCCATGGCCGTGACGCTGCATCGGGACACGGCCTGGACTGCAGATCAGGCCCTCGTTCCTCCATGGCCAGAGCGACGGACGAGCGGAACGACTTGACCGCGGCGAATCCTGGAAATCCCTCAAATCCCGCTCGGAGCATCGCTCCTCCCGGCGGGAAGAGCCGCTGAAGGGCGTTCGAGGAAAGCGCGTGTGGGGTCGGGCCCGATCGCCATGAATCAGCGCGCGGCGAACCGCCCCGATTCCGGCGTTTCCATCCGAACATGAGGAATTGCCGGAATTACCCGGAAGCGGCAGGCTGGAACGGCGAAAGGAGGGAGCAGCCGCCTCGAGATGCCATTTGCGGGAGCTCGCGGGAGATTAAATTTAAATACAGTGTTGTGGGCCTTAATTGCTTGTTTGAATCCGCCGCTCGGCTTGTAGGTGCTCACACCATTAAGCGCCCGGCCGCGGCTCATCCATTTCGGAGGTGACGGGCGCAATTTCACAGGCAGAGAGCTTCAAGATAAAAAGCAGCCTCCCAAAACGGGGCGGAAAAATACAAGGAAAAGCAGAAAAGGGAAGATGGCCCCGAGCAGGGGAATGTGCTGCAGATGAGGCTGAAATCAGAGGCGCCCGGAGGCTATGAAGCTGCTAAGTGTTTCTGAAAGAGGCCCCAGGAGCTCGAGGCTGTAAAAATCCCGGCGTTCCCTGATTCCCGGGGAGGATGCGCCCTGGGGATGCAAAATTAGCTTTAATTTCCATCGAGGGACCCACTGGAGGCGCCGTGTATTAAATACAGTGTGAAACGGCGTGAATGGGGTCGGGGAGGCTCCCTGGGATCGCTTAGGGCTCCCGATGGTCCCTGCCGCAGGAATTTGGCACCTCGCGGGGTGTTTTGGCAAGCGAGCGCGGGGATCACTTACTAGCTGCTTAAGAGCCGCAATTCCATGTCCGGAAGAGCCTTCCTGACATTCCGAGGTGCAAACATCTCGGCACAGGCGGCCCTAAAGCTCCCAGGAGGCAGAATTGGGGCTTCCACAAGAGCAGAGCCCTGTCCGGAGCGCGCTGGGAGCGGGAGCAGAGCCCGGGATGCAGCGCTCCGCTTTGGGAAGGCACTAATTCCATTAGGAAACGAGGCAGAGAGAGGGAATAAAAGGTGATGCAAAGGTGCTTTTCCGGGCAGGAAGCCCATGGGAAAAGGTGGATGGGAGGCTGCAGCCGGCGAAGGCTGCGGAGGGAAAATCCGCAGCTTTTGTGGGAGGCCCGAAATAGCCCCGGCCCTTTGGGGGGTCACATAACAACCCGTCAAGTGTCGCATTCCCAGCTGCTTTAGGGACCGGGCTCATCCCAATGGAGCACCCGGTGCCGTTAAAGAGCCCGCAGCGACGTTCCCGGGAACACGCCAGCAGGCGGGCAGCACGTTCCTGCGGGAAGCACCGTAGGAACAAGGCGGAATAACAAGGCTGCACAAGCCTGGAGCGCGGGCGCTCGGCACACGGATTGACGCGATCCCGGTGGGCCGATGGCCCCGTGATCCCGTAAAACACCCGCCTTAGCTCCGTGCCCGCGGGATGGAAGAGCCGCTCCGATTCCCGGCGCCACAGAGCACCCGGTATCCGTACCTGCCCGCAGCCGGGCGCGCTGCACACGAACGGCCGGTCGTCTCCCATATTTCATGCAGCTGAGCGACGCTGCGGAGAGAAAAGAGAGAGGAAATTGTTAAATAAGCTAAAACCCCCCATATATATAAATATAGATATATTTAGGATGTGCAGGGCGGCATCAGCCTTTGCAGGGAGGTGATTAATGAACGTGTGGCCGTGGAGGGGCCCTGTGCGCCCCGAGGAGAGCTGGGTTTGAATGAGGCTGGGGTGTTCCCGGGCGAGCTGTTCCCAAGGTGCGGCCGGGGTTGGAAGGGGCTTTGGGAATGTGGTGGCAACAGTCAGCGTCACCGGCCCCGAGCGGCGCGACGGAGGGGAAACCTGGAACAGCATCCATGGGAATTTGGTGGGATGGGGGAACAGCAAAGAAGGGCCAAGCCAAAAACCTGGAAAGACATCCATGGGAATTTGGCGGGATGGGGGAACACGGAGGAAGGGCCCAGCCTCTGTCCTTGCTCTTTGCAGAGCCGCCGAGCGCAGACGGTGACAACCTCCGGGAAGAGAAGCACAGGCGGACGAGCAAGGAGCCATCCAATAAATCCACGGCCTCTCCTCCAACAAGTTCTGTCTTCAGTGGGAGACAGCTCAAATTCGTCATTTAATTAATTAAGGGATTATAGGAGTGGTGCTCCGTTTTACAAGGCAATAATGTGGCTCCCTAGCGGGTAAACTCCGAGGCTGGCGGCAGGGGCAGTTTATCACGGATTAGAGCCGGGATGACAAGGCGCGGCGGCCCGTTACGCCGCGAGCAAAGCGCTGCTTATCAATAAAAAATAAGAGTAAATAAAGGCAGGCGCCCAGCTCCGCAAATGTAAGACATAAGGCTCCCCTCTGCACCTCCTGGGAATTCTTTTTCCGTGGGGGATTTTAAGAAGCCGTAATGAAGCAGACGCTCTCTCTGGCAGCGCGTTCCGGGAATGGCTGCTGGCTCCTCTGCGGCGCAAAGAAAGGCCAAAATGGCCCAAAACTCCGGACTCCAGCTGGGTTTTTTTGGGAAAACTCTTCCCGATGGCCTCATCTGCATCCATGGGAGTGCCGGGCACTGGAGCAGCACACGGCCCTGCTGGACTCCGCAGCCACGGCTGCCACCAGCCCACACGGGAACGTCCCGGACACCCGGGATGCTCCAAGGCCTCCGAAAGGAGCCTGGGCCACCCAGGGCTAGAGGCTGCTCTGCAACCCCCCGCAACCTCCAATCCTTATGGATAGGCCATCCCATTGCTGCTCCAGTCGGGAATCCCTTCCGTGATTCCTTGGGAGCTCCACGCCTGGAGCCTGCTGGCATCAGCAGCCAAGCGGCACAACTTAACAGGCGGTGTCAACCCCTTGGCCAAAGTCAACCTAGCGACGGCTGTTGGAGGACCATTAAAACCATCCTGCTCTTTTCCATGGTCATTTAAGCAGCCTGGGAAGACCTCGGCTTCTTGGAAAAGCACCGGGAGGATCCATGCATTCCTTAGGGAAAGCTCGAGCTGTTCCCTCCGGAATACAACCGCGACGTGCAGGCGTGCTCGGATTTACGCTGTGTTTAGCCAGGAGAAATTGCTTCAATAAATCCTGTCCCTAGGAACAGGCAGAAGAGGTAGGGGCTTGGACACCGGGAGCGCATTCCCAACCCTCTTCCCGCAGCCGCCAGACACTGTTTCACTGTTTGGATGATTTTTAGGGTGTTGCTCATCTGGCCTCAGCTCCCAAACGTGTCTCTCCATGTGGCGGGACGAGGTCCCCAGCGAAGCTGCTCCGCTTAGGATGCTTCTTCCCAGAGGCCATCCTGGAATCCTGCCGCCTTTTCCAGACATTTTCATGGCACCCGCTCCGCTCATCCAACTGCTACAGGAACAATACCCCGTGAGGCACCCAGACACTGCAGGTTCTGGCTGTGCCGGGAGCCCAAAGCCCCACGTGAGGCTGGATCCTCGCCGGGAAGCCCTGCACACATTCCCAGAGCAAAAAGCGACCAGGACACAGTTACCACGCAGGAAAACTATGGATTCTCCCCTGTGTGCCATGAGCACCCACCAAGTGAAGATCCCTCAGGGCAGCCCAAGGCCTTTCCCAGGAGGCTTCTGTTAAGCCCGGAATAACATCAAGCCGTTGCTCTGGAGCCAGTTCCTGGCTGGAATTCCCTATTCCCAGACCCATAAAACGTGTCCATAAACCCAGCAGTCCCGGGAATGTTAACATGCTCGTTAACGAGGAACTAAAGCCGCTCTCCTCATCCCTTAAAAGCGCTGGGATGTGTTAGGCGCATCAACACCGGCAATGGGAGACCAGCCTTCCTGGAAGGGAGCTCCCCTGGGCGGCACCTCACGGGATCCATCTGGAAGAATTCCCATCCCGAAGCAGTTTGGGAAAGGATGGAGAGGCACGAAGAGCTGTTCAGAGCCTGCGGTGCCTCCAAATTCCTTGTGTCCGCAGTGCCTCCGGGATCCTGGTGCCCACGGTGCCTCCGGGATCCTGGTGTCCACGGTGCACGTTGGTGTACAGGGCTGGGGAGGCCCAAAAACACCGTGTTTGGCCTCATCCAGCCGCTCTGGGGCTGCAGCATTCCCAGTTAGCTTCATTTTCCGAGGCCACGCTCAGTGGATCGGTTCTGCCGGCCTACAGAGCGGCGAGGTCGCCGCATCCCAATGCCGGGAACATCCCAGGAGATCAGCACCAGGCGGCACCTGCTCCACACGCCAGCCTGGTCAGAGCCCCGTGAGGCTCCGGCAGCACCGGGAAGAGGCTGTAAAAATCCACCACAAACCAGAGGATTCTGGCGCATCCCGAGCACTTCCCTGCGGAAGGATGCGGAATCCGCTCCTGACTGCCGGTGGTTGCAGACGGAGAGGCAAAGAATGCCGGGTTTTTCAGGGAAAGGGAGGCTGTGATGGTCGGTTCTTCCCCGCTATCCAAAAAAGAAGGAAGCGGAAGGCGCTTCCACCTCCCAAGCTTTCAAAAATAGTACGAGGTTTCCCACTAAAATGCGAGGAAGGAAACGTGCTGCTCCGAGACCATTCCAGGAAAGGCGCTTTATTATTCTGCAGCTCTCGGCCTCGAGTTTCCTGCCCATCGGGGGGAATATTCGGCGTGTTGGGTTCCGGATCCGCCAGGATGGGCGACGGATCCGCAGCACCCACCAAGCTCACAGAGGGGCACCCGGGCCTGGATTGCCAGCACCCTGACCCATCCTAAGGAGCAGCCAATTTAACAGCGCAAGTTTTCCATAAAAAGCCACAGGAATGGTCAGGCTTCTTAGATTTACGTGCCCAAGGTGCTGGCGGGCGCTTTCCAAATCCAACCTCATTCCGATGGCGGAACGGCCGCCCCAGCTGAAGGAGGTGCCCGCGGGGACCCAAGACCAGCCCGTTGAGCATCTCCGGGTGCCCAGGTCTCCCTGGATCTCCACCTCTCCAGCGCAGAGGACAATCCATGGAGACGCATCCCAAAAGCTTGGAGTTTTTCTGCAGGGAGGCCACCTCCAAGCTCTGCACAAGCATCAGGCTTTGCCTTTGGAGATGTTCCGAGGGCAGCGGTGCAGACGTTGGCTTTGCACCAAGGGAAAAACACTACTGGAAAGCGGAGAACGGAGGACACCACAAGGACTGGGTGAGGGTGCAGGAAGCGCTGATTTTAGCTAAAATCAGCTAAAATTAGCCAAAATCAGCCCAAATCGGCCGTTTCCCTGGGCGAGAACACGGAGAGAGGTCATCCACGAGTGCCCCTTTGCTCATGTGCTGAGCGGCGCTGCCGGGCAGCAGGAGGGCTCGGTGCAAAGGGACCTGGAAACCCAAAGCCCATTTTCTGGAATTATTTAGACACTTCGGAGCTCGCATCTCACCGAGAGGAAAACAAGAAAATAACGAGGCAAAAACCAACCCTTTAGGCAACGGGCCTCGCGAGCCCAAGTCAAAGCTGAAAATATTTAAATATTTCATCAGCGCTTCCGCACGAGCAGCTCCGAAAGGGAGATCCAAGCCTGGGCTGCGCGGAGCCAAGGGCGGGAGGTACCTACGGCTCGAGCTAATGTGAAGGAATTACAACAACCGGAATAGCGCCGGCGGGAGGGAGGAAAGGCAGGCACGAAGCCGCCGGGCGCGCACGCGCTCGTAAAGGAAAAATATTTAGTCCCTCCTGTTATTATTTACACCACACGTGGGCATTTTTATTTCTTTAGCATTCAAAGGCACGCACGCTTTACGGGGTCATTATTCCACAGGCGAGCGCGGAGCTCAGCGGGGAGTAAGAAATATTCCAGACAGAAGGAATGCCGCGCGAGGCGGCGCTTCATCGTGAGGTGTTTAAGCAGGGTTGCTTCCCGCCGCCGCCACGACTGGTTTAGTGGCGACCGGAGCCCAAATTCCCTATATGTGGTGTCCATAAGTCACAAGGCGAGGCCTGACACTGGCAGAGGGCTCACGCGGATCAGCTGCCCCTATATATGCATTAAAAGCAGCGGTTTCTGACCGTACCCCTGCCAGAAAAAGGCTCCTAATCCAATTAAATTGGGAATAAACTTCCTCAATCCCGTTTGCCGCCAATGAAGTGACATATCCCTGGGGAAGGCGGTGGCAGCCGCCGCTTTCGTGTTTATGGGGAGGTAACGGCGGCGTCTGCAGCGGAGGCCGCTCCAACGCTCCGGCCTCGGATCCCATCTCCCTCCATCCCTCCTGGGGTTTGGAATTGGGAAGAGCCAGGAAAGGCTCCTCCCGCGGCCGCGGGACGCTCCGTGCAGGGCTGCGGGTGCAGAGGGGTTAAACCGGGCGCCGCGCGGCCCGCCAGCCAGGCCCTCCCTTAGAGCCTCTCCAAGGCCGCCTTTTCCTCCGCTTTTCCCACAGGCACGAGGGCCTCCAGCGCCAGGGCTCTGCCAAACAGGCCTGGAGCGGCTCCCGGAGAGCACGCGGGCCCCGCGCGGGAAACCTCCGCACGCGGCTCCCGGTGGCGAAATTCCAGGGTGCGTATTCCCGGAGGGAAAAGGCTCCTTTCCCCCCAGCTCCGCTCCAGGCGGCGGATCCAACGGGAAAGGCGGCTCGCGGGTGGACAAGGGCGGCGCGAGCCGGAGCGGCCTCACGTTTCGGGCCTCTCGAGGGAGGCGCGTGCCAAGAAAACGCTGCTGCGCTCGGCAACGAGCCGGCGGCGCCGCGAGGCTCCGGCAGCGGGAAGCCCACGCTCCGGCGGAGAATTAATCACGGTTTAAACGGCACCCGGTGCGGCCTGGCGCGCGTTCCCATGCGGAACGCTCTATATTAAGACGCTGGCGCCGCGCACTCCCGTCGGCGCCTGGCAGCCAGGTAGGTGAGCAGCGGAAAGGCAAGAGACCCCTCGGAAAAAATGCAGAGTTTAATGGGAAAACAATGGGAAAATCCTCCCAGATGGGGCTTAAGGAGGGGGGAAACAGCTGGGTGGGTGAGCAGCACCCAGGGGCCTCTGCATGAAGCCCCGTGGGTCAATCCCATGGGATGTCCCAAGGGCACCGACTTGCTTCCGGACCATAGGGCCACGGCCAAGCGACACGAGCGTGGCCACGGATCAATCCCATGGGATGCCCACCCTTTGGATCAGGCCAAGGGCCACCTGCTTCCAGACACACCTTGGCCGCAGGGCCGTGGCCAAGTGACACGAGCGCGGCCAGGCCGGCCAGCGGGTGACAAACACAGTGACACCAAGGTCTGTGGATCAAATCCTGTCCACATTCCAGGGGCAGGAGCCCGGAGAGGCGCTTTTGTTTGGTTCTCCATAGGCGGCTTCCTACACACCTCGATATCAAACAGCTCTGCGGCTCCCCGGGGGAGGCCGGGCCTCTTTGTTCGCGTCTCCGCTCGGCCTCCGTTACTCAACATTTGCCCATTGTGTTCGCGGCTCCTTCAAAGCGCAGGGGAGAAAGAGAATTGCTGCAAAACGGGGCGAAAAAACCCACACACCTCGTTACAGGAAGCAACAGGTCGCCAGGGCTGAAGGGCTCTGGCAAAAACACCGCTGTCCTACGGCACCGGAGCCCTCCCAAAACGGGAGCGCTGCAGTTGGGCACTCAACAGCCGCTGGAAGGGTAGCCTGGGGAATCCGGCCTCAAGATGCAGCGCGAGGAGCTTGGAAAAATAGTACTATGGCTCCAAGGAAGGCAGAAGGATAAAGGAAAGCAAGGAGAGGGCTAAGGAGCGGTGCGTGGGATGCGGCGGGATCCCAAATGGGACGCAGCGAGCGGCCACGAACGCGCCGCGAGGGACAACGCCGGCACCGGGGGGCTGCCGGGAGCCGAGAGTTTTGTTAGGTCATTAGAAAGGAATAAAGATGTGGTCGCCACAAAGAGGTGGCCGCAGGGGCCTCCCGAGAGCTCCGGATCCCTTGGAGCGGGGAGGCCTTGGATGGAGACGCCGTGCACTTGGGATAAACCACGTCCCATAGGATAGGCGACAGAAAATAGGGATCCCTTCCCAAGCCCAAGGGTTTGCATTTGGCTTCATAACCGGATGCCTCAAAAAGCAAGTCGCCGGTCACCAGAAGCGACGGCGCTGGTGGGTCCAGCGCGATGGGTCCGTGTTTTCCGTATCCACATGATCCCGGGCGCAGTAGGATTCGCACCACTTCCAAGTAAAGAAAACACTGCCCCACAGACCAAAAAGCAACTTAAAAAGGGCCAATAACAACTTATATGTCTCCAGACAGGCTCAACTTCCAGCGGAGGGGCGGCAAGGCACAAATAGGAAGCTGATTTTTGGCCCAAACCTCTGTGAATTTGGCTGAGAAAAACCAGAGTGCGAAACGCACACAGTGGGAAGGGTGGAAAAATGAGAAACACTGGGAAAACAGCAAAACGCAAGAAGAAGGGATTCAATTTTTAGAAATACCTTTTGCCTGCTCAAAGAGTTAAAGCTCATCTCACTCGCAAAGAGCCTTTCCCTCCCTATAATCCAGGGAGACAACGTCCTGGCCGGCTCGGATCCGAGCAGCACTGCAGGCTCCCGACCATTCAGTACCAGAATATTGGCAAATTGGAAGGCATTGAGGAAAAAATAGTTAAGCAGCTGTGGAGGGATCGATTTACAAGGAACGATTAAAATAACTGGCCGTGGAGCTTGGCTCCGCGGGAAGACGGACGCGATGGTCCAAGTGCCAAAAGGGAGAGGAAGCTGCAATTAGGAATAACCAAAGGAATGACAGGGAAATTAAGGCACTCGTGGCTGTGTTTAAAAGGCTCCTCAAAGCGCCGGAGTCTGTCGGCTTCTAAAATAGCTCCTGGCTTCTCCATTTCCAAGCGGAGCAGAAATAACCGGCACGAGGGAAGGACTCAGCTCCAAACGAAGCCCATCCCGGACACGGATCAGCACCACCCGGAATCCGTGCGGAGCTTCCGCACGGATTCCTGGTCAGCGGCTCCCACCAATTCATTTTGTGTTTGGTTTTAACTGTGCTGAGAAAATGAGACGGACCCCTCGAATTGTCACCAAAGGCGACACCACCTTTGGCTTTAGAAAAAGGCGGAGCAAGGTCGACCCGACACAATTCCCAAATTCCGGAATCTGGCCTTAAATTCATCCCGTGTGAGTTTCTCCTCCGTGTTTAAACAGGGTTAACGTGCCCTGAAACACAACCTAGCCCAGGCCGCTGTTTAACAAGGGCAGCTGTTCAGAAACGCGCCGAATTCCTGTGCCGAAACGACGGCGTTTTGGTGACAACTCCATTTAATTGGTCTGCAGAGGAACGGGTGGTCCCTGCCCCGAGCGCACCAAAACACAGCAGAACAAATTGGGAAAAATCCAGCAAAGCGTTAACGGCGCTTGCGTTCCCCAGAATCCAAGCGGGGAAAAGGAGGGATCGCTTCCCAAAGAAAGGAACCGCCGGGACGTGGGGAAGGGAAGAGGCCGAAGGAGGCGGCGGGAGCGGGAGGTTTTCCCTGGCACAGGCGCCTCTTTTTCCTTCATTAAGGAAAAGCCCCCGGCGGGTCGCCCCGTTCCCGAGTTCCGGATCTTTGGGCATCGGGAGGGGGCTGGGGCCAAGCCCCCCCCAGCCGAGGGGACTGTCCCCCATGCCCCCCCAGGACGTCCCCAAGCTCCTCTACCCCCATGTCTGCACCCCAGGTCACCCCACAACCACCTAGCGCCCCCCCCCAAGCACTATCGAGACCCCCCAAACTCACAACCCCTTGAGCCCCTCGGGCGCCCCCGCGGGCCCCATGGCCCCTCACAGCCGCATCCCGCGGGCCGCCCCCCGCCAAGCGCTACCCCAGCGTCCCCCGGGGGCTCCCGCCCCCTCCGTACCCCCAAAATGCTGCCCCCCCCCCCGTTAAAGCCCCTTCCTGGGGCCCCCTCCCCTTATAGCCCCTCACGGGGCCCTCCCCCCCCAGGCACCGCCCGGGCCCCTCGGTGCCCCCAAAGCCCCGCCCACCCTGAGGGACGTGCCCATAACGCGGCACCTCCACCCACCCCGCGCCGCCATTGGCCGCGCCGCCCGCCACTCAGGCCCGAGCGGCGAGCCGATTGGCCGCAGGGCGCCGTCACTCAGGCGGAGCATGGGGCGGGGCCGGCGCCGCGACCGCCTCACGAAAACTCGGGCAGAGTTTGGGGGGGGGGCTCCGCGCTCGGCCCCCTCCTCCCGCCGCCGCC